TAGCCGAGCTCCTCTTACACTCATTTGAAGGGAAATATGTGTTTTGAAGGCACACTGAAGTTTCCGAAGGTGTATCCTCACAATGGCACAGAAGGAGTCGATTTTTCGGGTGGGTCAGAGGGTAGCGCGTCTGTGACCCATCTAAAATATCTCCTGAACTAGTGGGTCTTCAGGAAAACTGTAAAGCTTTTTGGAAAGAAAAGATAGGGCAGGTTCAAGACGATTTTTAATCCTGATGAAATTGCGTTCGAAATAAGTAATCCTCGTGTGAAGCATAAAAACCCGCTTGCCATTTACCCCTAGCCGATCCGAAACCCATCCGAAATATTTCACGAACGGGGAAACATTCAGATTGCAACTGGGTAGAAAACGCAACAGTAGGACATTCCGTTTGCATGTGCTTGCTAACCATTCATTAAAAAGCGCGCTCCTGGTCAAAGAGATATAAACCCTAAAAAACCCAGGATCGCAGACTGTTGGCAGTCGCCCAACAGCCGCGCTCCATATGACGTTTTCAATGAGGCGGTCGCAACGTTGCGATCGATACTAGCCAAGTATAAAACGATATACTGCCACCCGGTTATCCATTTTTTCATTGTGGCTCCGCATTTTTTTGTATTTTTCATGTTTCGCTTTGTTGTGTCGTGCATGTTTTTTCATGATTTCCCTTCATCATTTCATTGATGCAATCTTGGGAAATGGACACGCTGACCTTTGGGGCTAGTTTTTCACCAATTTAGCTAACAATGTCACCAAAGTCGCATGCTTCGAATTGCGTTCCTTCGTTACAAAGTTGCTGTCATACGTGCTTACGGTGTCGCAACGACCGAGTTTTAATTCTGAAACCCTAAGACAAAATTGTAGGTAATTGCGAGGCTGTTGTTCAGCCTCATATTGCATGAGGCTGAAACAGCCTATTATTGCCTGGATTTTAGAGCAGAGTCCGCCTTTCGAAAATCCAGATTCCATTTCAGGAAGCCATTTGTGGTGAACATGCATCTGGTTGTCAGTTAGAGCAGGAGGGGGGGGGGGTTAAAGGCAGTTGGCACGATAAATCCCCCAAGACGACTAGGATCAATACTCCTGGCAGGATAGAATTCCGCGACCCTGGGCAGGCGCTGCATAGCGGTTTCCCGAGGAAGGTGCCCTTATAAGGGCCCTATCAAGCCACAACTTTACGTCCCAAACGCCCGCCACGCCCGCCCGCCCACAAATGGACGACCGTTCCTGACGCTCGTATTCATTTCATTTGCCAAGCTACAAAATAGGAAGGGAAGGATTGGTAATGAAGCGTGGGTTCGTGATGCGGCATTGCAGGGCATGGTGGCACATATGCAGCCGTATCTTCGGTAGCGGTGATTGGTAAGATGCCTACGGGAAACTCGTCCGAAATCGATTTACAAGTCACTGAGAACGGAGGCTTTTTCTTCGCAGGATTTTGACCGTTTCTCCGTTCTTTCGCCATTTCCCCACTATACAGCGCCCTACTAGCATTTTAGGCTAAGTAGGAAACCATCGTGCCAACTGCCTTTAAAGGAAATAATACTGCTGAGTAAATCGAAAATCACCAGTGCTCACAGAAACACCCTCGATAAGTCTCTGAACCACTTATAATCTCAAATACCCCTACCTCCTCCGCTACCAGATACGTCCCATGGTGTGATTTCTATCACGATGGTGTACGCCATGCATAATCACTAGGTTGGCGCATATCGCTACATAATGGGCGTGTAGCGTTTGGTCCAGCAGAGCGTCGCGCAATGTTCGCAGTAGCTCCGCGAAAGCTAGCGACAAAATGGAGCAGTGATTTCGTGACGACCAGCTGCTGCTATTTTTTCACGTAAACGAGCAATGCACGACTGCAAAAAAACTTTGTGCACCTTCATGTTAGTCCGTATGCTTGCCAGCCACAGGCAGTCCCTACATGTGGGATGATCGATTGGTTTTATGGAAATTGTGCTAAAAACGTTCAGGTTTGCAAGAGCACGTGCAAGGGACTGAGAACAAGCTTCAATATCATACTTTTCCCCGAGGGTACATGCATCAACAATACGTCTGTTATGATGTTCAAGAAAGGATCTTTCGAGGTTGGTTCTGAGTACGATTCTTGTTACTCATATCTCCCTCATACATAGTTTTGTGTTTCACAGTGTTCAACTGCTAAAACCCCAAAAAGTCTAGTTTTTCTGCTCACACACTATGCCTATAGGACAGGGCACATCATTGGTTGGGGATTTTAACAAGTTCGTACCCCTTTTTTTTGGGGATGTATGACCCCCCCCCCCTCTCCGGTCCTCTGTCCCTCCTCATCGAATCGAGGAGCCGTCGAGTGGAGGGGGAGGGTCCTCCCAACAATGAGCAAGTACGACCCCACCCCACCCCCTTTTACAACGTCCGTGAAGCGAGAAAAATCAACTATCAAAATAAATTTTTCTCAGTTCAAATACGACCCCCTCTCCTGGCGGCCAAATACGACCCCCCCCCCCTATTGGGGATTCCCCAACAACGATGTGCCCTGCGCTTAGGTCGTCTGTGATCCACCGAACAAAGCGAGCCACCTCTTTCAAACTCACCTTGTCAGATCAGAGCGCCAACTTTCGCTGGAAAAACGGATTTTCGTGATCGGGTCCCCAACAATCCCTACATACAAGTTTCTCAGTGGTGCTGTCATACCCCTTTGTTTTATCCATACAATATTGTCCTAGTTTTTTATTAATAATTTGTGAGTGAGATGAGTGTTTAATTGTTTATTTTTTAGATTGGCAGCACAATATATCCGATAGCAATGAAGTACGATAGTCGGTTAACGGATGCGTTTTGGAATAGCAGCGAGCAATCTTATGGGGAATATTTATGGAGGATGATGACGTCATGGGCGATCATTTGTGACGTTTGGTATCTTCCGCCAATGACAAAACAGGTACGCAGCTTCCAGCAATGTGATACGAACGCAGTAAGTTATCGGAGTGAATCCATAGATTAGACCTATTCATATTATTATGTTCCCAGGCTAACCCAGTCATTTACTACCCCTTCGAAAAACTTCTTTGCACCCTTCGTACTTCAATGGTCCCCGCAAACGAGAGGGCGTGTGACGCGGCGCGATTTGGAGCGCATTGGCTAAACCATAATGTCATCCTGAGCGTGCTACAATTGGTGAGAATTCTGCTCTCGGTACATTCCAAGCCGCCCCTCCCCCCTCCGGTCACACGCCCTATCATTGGCAGGGGTCATGACTGTGATTCACTGTCACTTTTCCCAATGTAAACCAGTTTTGCTTTTCATTCTGCCCTTCCTGATTCGAATTCTCATTCAGGGTTTCAGGACGGTTTTTAGAAACATAGTGAAAGATAAGAAGTGGTAATGTGATTTAACTGTGAAGGATGTAAGCTGGACCGGCAATCAAAAAAAGTTGGGAGAAAAAGTACTTCTGCTGTTATGTTTGGACAATCTGCGAGCGTCCGACAAACAGTGCGTGCGCAGAGTAGAGACAAGACAGGCAAATGGAGAGAGTGGAGATGAGTGAGATAGCCACTCCTGATATCACGTGAAGAGAGTGTCCTCGACACTAGGGGGTGTGATCGGCCATGAATCACAGGCTTCTGGCGAACTTGTCGCACGTTTTCGAGTTGTGAAACTAACACTGTAACTGAGTTTTGATACCTACTTAGCTAGCTGCCTCTAGAACAGTCCGAGTAAACCAATCGTGAAGGGCGCTTTTAAGCAGAGTGAGTTCCGATCTTAAACCCAGAAGAGAAAGCATATCGTTGCCCTCTTTGGTGCTACTTTGTGCCTATTCCATATATCACATTTTCGTCATTTGTTCGAACCTAGCCTCCTGATCAGCGTTAGTGAGTGGCAGGGACAGCCGCCAGAACCACGACCTTACCCGACAAACTTCAAGGATCAAAATCTGCGTTGTTGTGAGAGTGGTTCAGGACATTCGAAGCGCGGTACAACATACAAACTAGCAGAGAAGTCTCTAGCTAGTCGACTTAAGACGTTGCAGGATCACTCTGAAGGAGTTGGGTCCTGGTTCAACAGCTGCTTCGTACACCATCTTTAAAAGCAGTGGTCACACTTGCTGGAGGTGGGCGCTTGTTGTCTGCGTAATTCGCGAAAGGGGTGCTAAAGGGCGTTTGACCACTTTTTCTTACCACTTCCACCAAGGACGTTGGACGACCGCTCACCCGCAGCTGTCCCCTACCTTGAGCGCCTCTTTGACTACTCCGCTCGCTCGAATGTGCAGGACTACAACCCATCACACTCATTTGCCCAGAAGATTGTCTCCTGAAAAATATTCATTCAAATGAGATCACTAGTTTGATTTTCAGGAAGGCGAGGACGCGATAGCGTTTGCTCGACGAGTGAAACGAGCTATAGCTAAGAAAGGAGGACTAGTTGATTTGGAATGGGATGGCGCTCTGAAGCGAGAACGTGTATGTTGCTGAAGAGTTGTGTTTTCGATAGGTCATGAACAAGTTTTATTGTTTCTCTATTAAGGTGTCTTCCAAATTGATCCAACTCCAACAAAAGCTTTATTATGATCGCTTGACAAGGACGACAACAATCAACAATATTGCTGAGGAAGAAATGCAAACGGATGTACTAGATATTATGCAGGTAAATAACAGTTTGCAGATCACACTGGGAGGTCTGATCATGTCTTGGAGTTGAGTTCAACATTCTTCTCTAGGCATTTGTGCAATAAGGAGACGAAAATATTACTCTAAGATATGGGGTAAACGGTGAAATTCGCTGTCAGAGATGGAAGAGGGGAAAACTCATCGGCGGCGCGCATGCGGCGCGTGTCAGGCAGTGTTATAGCAATGGCGCAGCAGAGGGCCGAACACTAACTGGTGCCCAACCGGGCGCTTCAATGGCAATGAGCCATTGACACCTTGCCAGTTTGAGTCAATCGCACTGGAAGCCAATTAGTTTTCATAGTGCAGAGCCTGTTTTCCTCTGGAAAATGTTCCCCTGTCCATGTCCATGCTCACCCGTGCGAGAAATGGACGAGGACCTACGACCTTTGTGCCTTTGGCATTGGTGCTCCCGTTCTTTCGATAGCGTTTGAGAGAACTACGCCAACGAGGAAGGCATATTGTTTGTGTGTCTCCACCTCCCATTTTGTCGCGGAATGTGTCTTCAAGGCGTTGGGCAGTGGAGCACCGTTATTCGGGATAAGAATAAAAATTATCTCAATTTTTTCCTATGTCCTTATGTAAAAATTCTCGAGTCTCGCTATGCTCGGTAATAACTGAGTTTCAGTGAAATAGGTAAAGCGGCGTTTGGCATATTTTCATAGTTCTGCTCATTGCTGCTGTTAGATTTTTCATTGGTCCTAACACATTCATGCTAGTGTAGCTGTAACTTTCTAAAAATGATATTTGACGAAAACGAGTTTGTCTACTTTGAATTCATAAGTGATGCACTTTTGTTATGAAACGATTTTGTTTTCAACGTGTTTTAGACAGCGTTCAGACTTCGCGACAGCGTCGATCGCGCATGCTTTCGTTGATCAGCGCAGTCGAAAGCACGGCAATCGATCGCGTCAAACATGCGACCGAAGCGCTGACGTCGCAAAGTCTGGACGCTGCTTTAAAGACGTCGCCTACGCCTACCTGACATCTTCCCTCACAAATGCTGCAGGGTCAAGCATGGCGTTGAGGAAAAGTGATAATATAGCTCCTTTGAAAAGAAAAATCGACGATTAAAAACATTTTTTATGAGTCCCCGTCCGGTCAAATACAACCCCGGTTGCCGGGTTCCTCGGCTTACGCTTGACCCTGATAACAATTGCAATGCTGGCCGTGTTTGTAATGTGTAAAAATGCGTGCCTTTCGTCCTTCTCACGCTTCTTCGAGATTTTCGATTCTCGTCTAAATCAAACGCGATCTTCAGTTGTAAGGTGTTAGGATGAAAAAACAGGTAATTAACTCACAGTGCTTTAGTCGATTAGCGAAGAAGATCGTAACTCATTGATGAAGCAACTTGATGAAACTGACGACGATGAAGCCATCATACGAAAGGTAAGTACGTTGAGTAATGGGCTGCGCTATCAGTACAATCGTCTAATCCACTAACACTCTAACAGGAACTACTAATACTCGGAGAGAAGGTTGTTTCCGTTTTTGAATGCCTTGAATGATCGTTTCGTCATGTGTCACTTTGATCGGCATCGGAATTGTACTGTAATAACTGTTGTGACTACCGTATTCGAAGAAGTTTGCTGATGCAACGAGTTAGTAACTTGCTGCTGAGGGTAGTTTACGGTCTTTTCAAAATTTGGTGTGTGGGCGTGTTGCGCGAACGCATGGCTGTGGTTGGTGGACTCAATCAATCCACCCACCACGGACGTGATTGCAAGCTCCGCCCACTCCGACTCAATAAGCGCAGTATCCCTGAGGATGCATTAAGACGCAGTGACGCGCGTCGACGCACTACCGTTGCAATCGCGCTCAGCGCTATAGACGGAAAAATAACCATAGGCGGGAGCGCAGCCATGGACGGGTGTCGATCGCCGAAGGCTGCTGGTGTTTTGGGAGAGCGTGGGAGAATAGGAGGGTACCAGACAGCGTGATTAGGCGTCATGAAATAGAACGGTCTGTAGTGCGATTGCGAAACCGATCGTGTTTACAACGCCTAATCACACAGTTCTAGTACATTCCTATTCTCCTACACTTTCCAAAACACAACCAGCGATGCCGATCGTCTAAAGCTGCATTCCCATCTCTAGCACTGGACCGGTTGCAGTGGTAGCGCGTCAGCGCGCGTCATCGCGATTTCTCAACGCAGCCTTAGCGCAGCAGTAAAAACATTGGAAATGCGATCTGATATGGTTTCTAACTGCGTTCTGCGTTCTTTAATATGGTTTCTAACTGCGTTGCATCTTACTCTTACTTACCAAATTTTACCACTGATGTTGTTATTAGTTGTGAAGTCTGTAGCAGAAGACCACGGGACGTAAAGCATCGGTCTTAGATGTGCATGTTGTTATGATATCCTGCTTGATGTATCTATCCTGTATGAGCAATTCGGCACTATTCAACTATTACTACCCCAGATTTCCGGAAACGGGCCGGATTTTGATCGACTTTTTTCTACGGGGGTGGATTTGGCTGAAAGTTGGGTTCTAGGGGTAATTCGACCTCCTGAACACGAATATCACATCCACTTGGCCTGAAATTGCCTGGCGCCCGCGCCA